GCAGTGAAGCATCGGTGTTGAACACTGATGTCATGCTGTCGTTGATGATGATGATGATGATGACCAATGCTCGAAAACGTTTCGACAAGACATTACAAAATTTCGTTTGGATTGTGCAAGTTATTGTGAAATGCTTGCATGTGTAGGATGCATGCTGTTACATACAGACTGTAGAGGGACAAAAAATATTCAACGGTTTTTTTGCCGAGACCAGACTGAGCCATATTCGGTAGCAGGAAATAGTAGCTTCCCAAATGCGTCTTAAGTGGAGCGTTAATTCAATGTAATGGCTGAGGCCGTGTCAGGCTGAAGACGGACAGGATGATCAGCGACGGAGTGTGATAAATTTCGTGTCGGATGCGAAATCGACTTTGAATGATACGAAAACAATTCGCTTCTGCTGTGGTGTAGAAGCCGTTTTAAATGTGCTCCTTCAGTGATCGATCGACTTGGTTTTCTGTGGGGAACAAAATCATTTCTTATGACCTGTGCGACGACACGTCTAGCATTGATGTTTTCGAATGGGCAGAAGCGGACGTAATGCCAGTCGCCACAAGACCAACGTGGTGTAGAAGGCTTACTGTGTTTGAAATGGGAGTTGCGCTGCAATCCTTTATTTCGGAAAACATAGTGCACTGTGTCTTATATGCCACTTGATGCTTGTACTGTCGTGATTAATTTGGATGAGGCGGTTACATTCAGCAGTGAACTCCTTCAAAGTTATCATCGAGTTTCTTCAATTTGGTGCAATAATCTTGTCCGAATGTTTGATTGACGTGAATGAATTGAATTGATTCGTCCATATCGCTTAGCTTGAAACGTCAGCCCGATTGACAAATGTTAGACCAACAAAGTCATTTTCATGACGGATTTAAGGCGTTGTTATCGGATGTTAAACAAGAACGTTCCCCTAGAGATTTGGGTAAGTGACCAGATATTTCCGTCGAAGCTGAGATCAGGAATATGTACTTCGAGTAACGGTTGTGTTCACGTGCACCAAGTTCTCAAAGTAACTGCCGTATCTTTCATGGGTCGTCTTGCTTGGTGAAGTCAATTACGAATTTGTCTTTGTGCCTTTCGAACCAAGAGTCAAAAGTTCGAGCTGCATCTGTGCGTGCTCAAACTGCTTCTGCTGGTGTTCCAAGATCACTTGAAGTTGGTCATCTAAAATTGACCCATCAATGCTGTAAGTGTGTGCTACCTGGCTTTTTCAGGAGATTAATAGAACGTGGGTGGGAAATTTCAAAGAGGAAGACAAAGGATACCGGCTGAAAACCGGCCATCGTTTCATCCATTAGGAGTGAATCGTTGTGGGAAAGAGCGCTGCGGATCAGTTGAATGCAATGGAGAGATGAAATCTTAGTGAAATATACAAAAAAGTCGCATTGTTCGTTAGGACATGACCGTCCTAACAACTTTGCGCTCAGTATACTGCCTGAATCTTCACCAGTCCATATTTCGGAGATCTAAATTCCACCAGAACGTTCGTTCATGGACGTTGAATAGGTAGGGTTCATTGATCTTTAGTCCTTTAGAAATGCAAACTATTTTGAATAACCTGATTCCGCTGCATGTTTCGGTATGCACTTTGCCTCCTAAAGTGCAAAATACTGATGCAAGGTTGAGTGTAATCATTTCCGGCATCATGTCTGCTAGTTAAACGATCGGAATAGTAGATAAGTTTTTCTATTTTACCACCTGTATAAGTCCTGGCGGACTGGTGAAAGATGGACTCACTTCCTGAGTGGGTAAGGCCAGGCCAGCCATCCACGTTTATCGCGTGGACGTCTTTAAGGGCGTTTCAAACGGATATTTCAATTTCCTTGTCTCTTGCCTATCGGATTGTCCAAACTGAGGACATACGCAATATTCAATATCTTATGCGGCCACCGTGACCGGCGAAACATAAAACCATATTCTACAGGCTGTGGCCTAAGCCAAAGCCGACGCTGCGGTAAAAAGCAGAGATCACACTTTTTCGTGGACTTCCTTACTCACGCAGTGACCCGGTCCATTTGGCCATCTTTCTTCTCAATCCCGGATTGTTTCTGCCTCACTTAAAAACGGGCGGTAATTTTTGGTTCCAGAAGTGTCCCATATGCCCCAAGACCATTACCCGTCACGTTTGAACCCGCTATTTGGGATATGTCAGCCTTACACTATAAGCAGTTGATTTGATTGTACCAACATATACCCTTCACCCTCATCATCCTCATTGACAACAACATCAGAAGAAAACACGGGATCCTAATAATGGAAAGAAAATGGGACAGGGAGAGACGCACTTTCAGAACGCAGATAATCGGGGTACAGGCTGCATCACTAACGCCAGTGACATCCTTTAGACTCCATATCGTTTAGTGTCTCCAGCGAGGCACTGGACGGCCAGAGCGGCTTTTGTGAACCTGCGTCATCTGTGGTCTAGGATTCACATCAGCTTATCTATCAAAGGTCGAAAGCTGGAAACGCGCCGGGGAGGCTTGATGGTGGCTTGGCAGCAGTGTGTGAAAACAATCACTGATAAGCCCAGCTGTGTTAGCTATTTCTGTCTCCCTGGATGGGGACTGCGACTTGGGACACAAAAATAGTTGAACCTTATCCGACATGACCCAGTCGCACCCTCCATGGCGCTGTGCATGAAAGCTAGTGCCTTCAATTCATGTCTCCGATCTTCCCAGTGAAAATTCCGCTGACACCCTCGTATTGACGCTTCAGTGGTTGGAGCGCTAATTTACTGATTAGAAGGCCCGTGGTTTGAACCTGACCTCTGTCCCTCAACTTTTCCTGTCTGGGTTTGGGCAACCTGGCAGTATCCCAGCCCTCGCCCTTTCTTCTGGTGGCATGGCAGTTAGGCATCGAAAGGGTGCTAAAGCTGAACCATTTTTTGACGCATAATTTGTATGAGCCGCCGCCTCCCTAAATCATCGACGCACGAAACTGTGACAGCTATTACCAAAAGTTCGTTACCTTCGAGATGTCCAAAGACGATAGTCTGAACGTGCGTGGTGGCGCATTACGCCTGTCTCAGGCCTTTCAGTGACAAGGTCTACAATGATGATGATGCTGAAACTTCAAAGTAGAGCAGCCCTTTTTCATGCTGAGGGTGGCCTTTTCGCCCCCAAGAGAACTCAAAATATTCAACGCTGGTATAAAACTACCTGGTCTTTATGTAGTCTGTTGACCGTCACTGGAATCAGCACTGGGTCTTCGTATTACGGATCTGGCATCTTCCCGCCGCCCATTGTCAGTTGCTTTCAAAGTATTTTTTGGAGCTGAATTGTCCCGGTTTGAGGGCTAGCCGCCTAAAAGTAAAGGTGATTTAAGCACACAGGCCTCTTGCACCGTACAAGCTATAGGTGAATTATATTGTGTCCAATCGTTGGCGTTGATCTTTTGCGCTTTTCGGATACTGGATTGGGGCGAGATGGCCCAAGTGGTTAGAGCGCGAATTTACTGACCGGAAGGTCTGTGGTTCGAACCCGACCTCTGCCACTCGACTTCCCCTGTCTAGGCTTGGGTGACCTGGCAGTATCCCAGCCCTCGTGCAACCTTCGGGTGGCATGGCAGCTAGGCACCGAAAGGGTGCTACAGCTGAACGATTTTTTTACTAGATTCACGATCGAAGCGTCCCATTCTACCAGGTCGTTCAAAACAGGTAGCAGTAAGTTTGTCAGGCAGTTACCAAAGGTCCCTCATCTTCCAAGGACAAACCACCCGGACTAGCTGTCTTGGGCATCGGAAGAGCAATATTTATGTTGCTAATGGGTTGATGCGCTCAGTGCTACATTACGACTCGAAGGACTCTGCTGAGGATGGCCGCCCGACGTCTTATCCATAATTTCGTGACCCATCATTGAAGACGATCATGGGAATTTCGTTGGTGCCCGTCTAGCCAGTCGGTCAAGTCGCCCGGAATAAAGTACAACGGTTTCTTGCAGCCAAATCGTCCTGCAGTTTCTGGGCTTCCGCGATCCATCAGGGGTATCTTCATTTGGATTCTCGATTATCCGATGTTTACGAGACATGAGTACGTTGTCGTGGTCGCTGGTTGCCTTAAAAGCTGTCGGTTTTGATGATAGCCTGTGTTTGGTTAGTTATAACCATTCACCGCTGATTTGGCGAGGTGGGGCAGAGAACTGCGCATTGGCGGTGGTGGCTGGTATAATTGATGCTCAAATACAGGGTTTTCAGTGAACCTTTACTTGATGAGCTTGGGAGGGGGGCTACGCATTGAAGTCAATGGCTTGGATGCACGAGCGCCATTGAGAGCGCGACTGTGCCATGTCCGACAATGTCTAACTATTTATGTGCTCCGTCTCGGGCTCCCCATTCAGGGAGTGGTATTTCCCAGCGCAGCTGAGTTTGCTGGTATTGACTCGACAATGTCTATTTATGTGCTCCATCTCGGGCTCCCCATTCAGGGAGTGGTATTCCCCAGCGCAGCTAAGTTTGCTGGTATTGACTTTCATATTTCTCTGCCAAGTCATTGTTTCACCCCTACTGGCTCGTTTCCACCCTTCACGTGCTTGTGTGAAAAGGGTCATTCGAGGAAGTTGATCGACTGGCATATGAATCACGTGACAACGCCAGCGCAACCTCCGGAATGTGATCAGTTCGTCGATCGTAGGTGAGTTATTTCTTCCTGAAACCGTCCGACATACTTCAGTATTACTGATCCGGTGTTCCATCCAGACTCTGACAATGTTGCAAGGTCAAACACTGAAAGTTTTTTGACGTTTTCAAAACTCATTTGCGAGGTTTCTGACCCGTATAGTAATATGGGGCGCACCACAGCATTATCGATTCGGCTCTTGACAGATTATCTGATGACACGCCTACACCACAGGTGATACGGTTTTACAAAAGCTGCTCTGGCATTACCAATCCGAATGGAAATATAATCTTTCACGAAACCAACGGACTTATACAGCTGCTCAGCCAGACAAATTTGTCCGCCACCCCAATCGGCCTATCCTCAAGCACGAGGTTAGGATTCGAGCCCACACAGTAGCACTTGACATTTTGCAGGTTTGGAGCATTCACCAAACCGTGGGGCAGAATTATTCGGTCTGTTTTATATTGTTCACATGACGACGGCGTCAGATACGAGAGGAGGTATGTCGTCTGCACACACGAAAGTCTTTCCATTTCCAGCTGTCATTATTAGTTGCTAAATACTGGATTTCCCGATTCTTCTCTAGCATACAGGCGAATATATTGGTTTTTGGCTAATAGAAAACAACTCTTATGCTTTGGTATTCTGTAATGAGGTGTTCGGTTGGTTAACACCTCGTCCCTTTTAGTCTGTGGAAGGTGATGTTTCTTCTCCAGCTCTTCGTCACCCACCCTCGCACCCATTTAGCGGTTCCTCGCGCTACCATTGCCGATTAGATGAGATGCGCAAACAGATGTGCAAAACTTAACGAGCTGGTCGTTCCAGCTGATTGGTAGGAACCGCCAGTCGCTTGATGGCAAAGTGAATGTAGTGGTTGTTATCACCATTAGTTGGATACTGGCGGCTGCAGTGCAGGATAGTGACCAATTTCGGTGACAGATAATGGATAACCGAATAGTGACGAGTGGTATCTTTGGAAACCTGCAGTTCTAGGTGGACAAATGAGAGTGGCTTTTAACCGAGAGCGCATGCTGAAGCATTCTAAGCGTGCTCGTCATTGAAGTTGTCCGTTAACTACTTTTATAACGAATGAGCGCATATCAATGCGGCAAGGTGGCTCAGCTGGTTAGAGCGCAAATTTACTGACCAGAAGGTCCGCGGTTCGAACCCGACCTCCGCCTTTGGGACTCCCCCGTCCTGTCTGGGGCATCCTGGCAGTATCTCAGCCCTTAGGCTTTCTTTAGGTGGCATGGCAGCTAGGCACCGAAAGTGTTACGGATGAACGATTATTACTAATTTATCATTATTTTTGCTTGTATGGCAGTGTACCTGTGGGTATCGTGGATCGCATCTGTCCACTCCTAACAACCGGCAATGTGTTCCATGCAAATTGCAGTCCATTGGAAGACAAGATTTCTCAGGAATATGTTGAATGTGGCTCTCTCATCTTTGTTGGTCTTTTCTAACAGCGGACTTATTTGTCAGGTTTTTTGTCTGTATAACATATACTTTCCCCTTTTGCAGCATGACTACCCCCAGCGTTGACGTGGTTCACTTGACTGAAACCTTCATCAAAGTTCCATGTTTTGCACTTGCATACGGCGCCTTTTCCAAGCTATACGAAAATGAGGGCTATGTGGCCAACCAGAAGCCAGTTTTGTTGTCCAAACTCTTGGCCCTGTGTACAACCCTGTATAAATCCCAACGAGTGGCAGCCAACCTGTTGAAACAGACTGAGTTGGAAACAACTAAGTCTTTAAAAACCATCCTTTCATGCAGTTTGTGCCACCGTCTCTACCTGCAACCGGTCGTGTTATTTTGTGGTCACACTTTTTGCCGGAACTGTGTGGAAGGAAGTTTCAATTGCCATGCTTGTACTGAGTGTACCACCACTGGTGAAGTAAACGACTCACTTCTGATCACCAGTTCGATCTCACATTTCTATCCGGATACGATTCCACTGTATGAACTGCTGAGAAAATCCACGTCGATGGTGCGTCAGGGGAAGTATAAAGAGGCTTTGGAGCTCAACGACGAGTTGTTGGCTAACTGTACAAAGTTTCAATGCACTTTGTCTCATATCGTTCTCCTTTTGTAGTTTCGCATGACGCTCGATCATTTCAGGCTGCAGCGGAGGCTCAGTTTCTGACTT